TTGATTTTTAGGGAGGCAGAGAGAGAGAGAGAGAGGGAGAGAGAGAAAGAGAAAGAGAATGATCTGTTTGCTCTTCTACTTATTTGTACATTCTTTGGTTGATTCTTGTATGTGCCCTGACTGTGATTGAACCCTGCAAGGTTGGCATAGTGGGATGATGCTCTAACCAACTGAGCCACCCAGTCAGGGCCTATAGTCATTCTGGTTCTTCATCCTGTATTAGATAACTTTGATTCTCTCTGTCTTCAGTGTTTGTCTGAAACTTTATGGTGATGGGTCTTATATAAGACTATTGTCATAGTGCTGTGTACTTGGAGGGCCTTTGAATTTGGAACCTCTTGCTGTTTGAGTCTGGGCAAGTTTCTTTAAAAATATAACTGTTTATATTTGTAAATATAATAGTTATATTATGAGCACTTGAACTAGCTTTCTGATTTTTCTCTCCCATTTATAGCTTCACAGTTTTGCTTTATCTTCTGTGAGGTTTTCTCAAATTTATCTTCCAGCTATTCTATTGGGTGTTTGATTTAAACTTTCTTTTAATTTCTAAGTATTTTTTTGTTTACTGTATATTCCATTTTTATAGCATTGTTTTCTTTATTTTTAAATAAGAGCTTATTAAATATTTCATATACTGTAGTTTTCATAATTAACATATACCTGTTAAACAATTTATTGTTTTTTAGTATAGTCACAAAGTCGTGTAGCCGTTACTACTATCTTGTTTTAGAACGTTTTCATCACCCCCTAAAGAAATCCCATATCCATTCCTTCCTTCTCTCTAGGGCCTGGCAAACACGAGTCTACTTTTTAATGAATTTTCTTTTTTTGGTACATTTCATGAAAATAAAAATCACACAAAATGTAGTTTTTTGTTCACTGCCTTCTTTCACTTACCATGTTTTCAGGGTTCAGTCATATTGTAGTATGAGTCATTCTTTTATTGCTGAATGAAATTCCATTGTATTCCATTCAGCACTAAATGAATGTATCACATTTTGTTTATCCATTCTTCTTTTGATATACAGTTGGGTTGCTTCCATCTGTTGGCTGTTGTGAATAATACTGCTATGAAAATGGGTGTACTGATCTGTTCTAGTTCCTGCTTTCAGTTTTTTTAGGTATATACCCAGAAATGGAATTGTTGGATTATATGGTAATTCTGTATTTAATTTTTTGAGTAACCACCATACTGTTTTTCATAGCTGCTGCACCATTTTGCATTCCTGCCATCAGTGTACATCCTTGCCAACAATTGTGATTTTTTGTTATTTTGTTTTGATAATAGGTAGCCTATGGGTGATTGTATTGTGGTTTTGATCCTCATAGAATTTTTTAGCACCTTTGTTGAAAATCAGTTGACCGTTAATGTAAGGATTTTTTCTGTGTATATTGGGGCATGCTTTCATTTTTCTGGCAGGCAGTCTGTGCATCTCTACCTTCTCCTTTACTGTCTCCTTGTTAGTAAGAAGTGAGACGGTGCCTTCTTGGGCCTTTCCTGGGCATGTACCTGCCTTGCATATATGTATGTAGCCTTTTAGTTTCCCAGGAATATGTCAGAACTTTTCAGAGTCTTGTGAACATCTTATTTTCTAGTTTTGGTCAGTTTCTTTGCTCCAGTTGTTATTGCCATCACAGGCAGCTTCTGTGTTAATCAGTTGTCCCTGATTCTTTTTGATCATGGCTTCATGGTAAAGGGTCTTGCACCGAGCATGCTCTGAATCAGATCAAATAAAGATAAATTCTGTGAATGGAGATGGAGTTCAGTTCTAGGATATACCAGACAGGTCAAACAATAATGGGAGCTGCAAACTTGTTCAACTCTTTACAGGAGCTGTGAGACTGCTGTTTTCAGACTACTATCATTGGGAGGCTGTTGGTTTTCGGCTGGTGAGTTGGAGATGGAAATAGGGCACAGGAAGACAATAGAAAACTTAGATTCAGCTGTTTTTCTTCAAGAATACTCCTTGGATTGTTGTAAGCCTTTGTAATTTCCAGAGTTTTGAAAAATGTGATTTTGACAATATTTTCTTTGTGTCTTTGGAGAAACAGATATTCTGAGTTCCTTATTCTGCCATTTTTGAAGGGCTACTCCTCTCTTTGATTTTTTCATTTGCGGTATTTTCTCTCTTTGGAAGTCTTGGTGACATTTTAAAAACTTTTCATAGTCTCTTCTTTCCTCTAAGTTGGGTATATGTGTGTCTGCTCAATATAAAGAGTATTGGAGCCCTGGCTGGTGTGGCTCAGTGAATTGAGCACTGGCCTATGAACCAGAGGGTTCATAGATTCCCAGATACATAGGGTTCATAGGTTCCCAGATTCCCAGGGTTCATAGATTCCCGTAGGTTCGATTCCCAGATGGGGCATGTACCTGGGTTGTGGGCCAGTTCCTCAGTAGAGAGCGCTCCAGAGGAAGAAACATCAGTGTTGATCATTCTCCCTCTCTCTCTTTCTCTCCCTTCCTCTCTCTAAAAATAAATAAAATCTTAAAAAAAAAGTATTGGACTAAAAAGCCAATGGGAAGGTCTGAGTGTATGGTTGAGGTTTGTTGACTATGAGATTACTAGTGTTTGTTTCTAGGAAGTTACTTTAAATTTATATTATAAAACGTTCTAGGAAGGAATGATTAGACCTACATCTTACAGTAAAATAAATGACAATTGAATTGAAAAGATGAATATAAAAATCAGAAAAACCGGGGGAAATGTTATTATTAGTCAAACTAGTAAAGAAATTGATTTTAAGTGTGAGGTTTAAAGATTTAAAATTAAAACTGAAAAAAAATTGTGGCTTCAGATGGTAATCATTAATCATGTATTTAATGTCTTTGAACATATAAAACTCACCCTTTTAGACTTGTGCGAATTCATAGGTCCCAATAGGAGCATTTTCTAGTGCTGTACTCAGAACTAGCAGACAGAAACTATTTCTAAGGAATGCTTGGTTGATACTAGACTGTCAAGTTATTGACCTTCTGAGGTAGTAACTTAGATAGGAGCCGTTGTATAGGCGTTTTTGCACAGAGATTAAGGCAGCTGGTGAAACAGGAATATGAAAGTAGAGGAAAGGGCATGCCTGCCTGAGGGATTCTGAATTAAGGTGCAGGTACCAATAATAGCATTCTCATTCCTAGTTGTTTGGGCCTTCTGGTTGTGGGTAATATGGCCACAGTGAGCAAACATTATCACAGATAGTTGACATTGATAATGGTGAATAGTCTCCCAGGAATAGAAGAAAAATTGTCTCCAGAAATTTCAAGAACAACCAGACAAGAAGTATACCTTTTTCCTAATGTGCAAATTTGCAGGCATACTCATGTCAGAGGGTGTAGTTGTGACACAATAAAGCAGTAACTTGGCCAGGGCATGCCCTGGCAACCTGTTTAGTGATATTATTGATGGGCTTATTAAGTTGTTGGAGACCTTTGCTGCTTATAAAAGGGAAGGTGATAGGAACATCATAAAATTGAGTCTACGGCATCTTTTCAGATCTTTAGTAACCACTGTATTTGAAAGTGAGTGATAATTATATCTGGTTCTGAGATGACAAATAGATTTTCAATTTAATGCCAACTTTGATTAATTGGTAGTGGCTGCCTGGAGCAGCTTTGAGAAGGATTCTGAGGCTACATCTGGACTAAGATGGAAAAATGGGTCGAAAAGATTATTGATATCTACCATGGAGTGGGAACAGGGAGAAGTCTATCAGACTAGTTCATCCCTTTCATTTTACCTCTATTTGCTGATGTGTATTTTTAGCTACACTGTTACTTAGAATTCTAACTAGAATAGAATGAAGTAGAAGTGAGTAGCTGCTCAAGAAAGTAAGACCTATGCACATTCTGCGTCTAGCTAGCTAGCTTTGCTAGGTTCGGTGAATGAACTAATGAACTAAGACCAGAATGAGTAAAATATCTAGTTTTCCTTAGTAAGGGAAAGGGACAGAATTATTAGGCACCAGCTCTTTCACACAGTGGTGTAACTCTCGTATATGACATAGTGCTTGTTGTGTACAGAATACTAAAAGAATACTGTTTCCATCTCTACCCCCAAGGATGGTTTGTAAGAAACTGCTAAAATTTCTACTTTGCTCCCTGAAATCGGTGGCATAGGTTTGAAAGCAGAAGTACATTACCTTGGAATTTTAACTTTTATACTTATTCAAATGTATCTGTGTTTTGCATGGGAAAGCCTCTTTTTATTTGACTTCCTTCTCCCCTCCACCCCCAATTTTTCTCTCATTTCTGGGTCATTAGGATGGAATATTGAGTTTTGCTTCTGTTTAAATGTCAAGGTAATGGGGAGGGCTGAGGCAGTGGACTGGGAAGGGAGTAAAAGGCAGAAAACTACTTGAACAACAATTAAAATAATAAATAAATAAATAAATAAATAAATAAATAAATAAATGTCAAGGTGAAAATTATCCTTTAATAGAAAGTTAATGTTATGTTAACTTTTTTAAGCTGAAGATTATCCAGTCACAATGTTTGTTTCTAGAGAAATTATTTATAACATTTTTTAATTAAGCTTTAAGTCAGAGAAAAGAAAAGGTTTTGTATTGTTATATGGAGCATTTTGAAAGTCTTTATTCATTAGCAGTCTGTGCTTCAAAAAAATGAGAAATATATGCCTTTCATAATATACATGTTTTATATAGAGCAATAAATTTAATATAATGTCTGAAAGCATGGGCTCTGGATTCTTAAGTCTCAGGGCTGGCATCTCCACCCTGTGTCACCTTATGCAAGCTAAGGGGGCCTTGCTTTCTTTATCTGTAAAATAGGGATGATATTAATCCCTTGTAAGGCTGTTATAAGGGTTAAATGGGATCTTTCAGTTAGATCCCATAGGTCAGTGCTTGACCTACAGTAAATTATTGTTGGCTATTGATATTATTATTAATATGTTGTTTTTGTTATTAAGTGGATTTGTGTCAAAGATTTTTTTCAGTAATGGTTAATAGTTTTTATATATATTTATATATATATATTTTTTATACAGATTGAATGTAATTTTTACAAAATTTGATGAAGTCCAAAAATCTGGAAACATGATACAATCTGCAAATGGTGAGTAGAAAAAGCAGTTCTTCTATTTTGCTTTTTAAATTTAATGTCAGTAATGCTTATGCTATTTCTGAACAGCTGAATTTGATATCTTGCTAGGGATTTCTATGTCTTAAGACTTAACCTCCATTTTCTCACTTTTCGAGACCAGAAACTACAGGGTTGTTGTCATTGACATTTTTTTCACAATCGACCTTGAGTCCATCGGCTACTCCTGTGGGCTTTACTTGTAAAAAATACATCTAGAATCCCAGTGATTCTCACTGTAACTACTATTATTCTCTTACTGAAAGCTGTTATTGTATTTTACCCGTGTTCTCATGGTAGGCTCCTAATCAATATCCTTCCATTTACTCTCTCCCAACACCAACTGTCATTTCCATGTAGCAATCAGAGTAAGCCTTTTGGAATATAACTTAAGTGGCATTAATTCCCTATTCAAAATCTTCCAGAGGTTTCCCGTTACACAGAGACAATTCAGTGGCTCACCATGGCCCACCAGACTCTGCATGATCTGATGCTGATCACCATTCTGATTACATCTTGTATTATTCTTCCCTAAAATTATCTTGGCTCCCATCCCATTGGCCTCCTTGCTAATTTTGAACATTCTAAACCTGTCCTGTTTCAGGGCCTCTGTGCTTATGATTCCTTCTGCTTGAAACATTGTTCCCCCGTGTCACCATGGCCGTCTTCCTCATTCCATCCAGATTTCAGCTGTAGTGTCTCTTGATCACAAGGTCATCTGGAATAGCACACCCATATTTCTAAGGCAATGCTGTGCTCTCATCCTGCTTGATTTACTTTCTTGGTGTCTATCCCTATGAAGTATTTTTTGGTAAATATTTTATTCACATACTTTATTCATGAGGACAAGAACATTGTTTTATTACTTTTTTATCTTTGCTTTCTCAGAAAGTCCCTGGCATATGGTAGGTATGTGATAAATATTGTTGAAAAAATAAAACAATAACTGAAATTTTAATTCTGACCTATTTTTTCCAACATTTGTATTCCTTTTACTGTAGTTTGTGATGTTATTTGAGGACAAGTGGGTAATTCTTGTGATGCCAGAAAGGGAAGAAAAGACAAGAGTGAATTACTGTATAAATAAAGTCATCAAAAAAACATTTGCTAACAAGAATTTTGCATTGTAGCTATTTCAGAATTGCTGAGGAGCTTAAATCATTGCACAGCTTTCAAAATTTGAATATCTTGAGCTTGTAAAAAAGTTTGAGTGATTTCCCCCAGAGTGACATACAGGTGAGGAAGGGCAAAGCCAGAGCTGGATATAGGTCTTTGGACTAAACTCCCCTGTGTACTTACCACTATCAGTAAAGAATTTGTCTTTAGATGGCATGTTTCTTATGAAATGTTTGAAGTGTTCTAAACTGCTTTCATTGATTCCCTTTATTTCTTTTTAATATGTTTATGAAAAGAATATTTATTATAATTCAGTGATTACCAATAAATAAAGTTTCAGTTTTTCATACTCCCATTAATTAATTTTCCTATAATTATGTAATTTGTATGTGATTTTATTTATGGTATAGTTTCTGCATATTGTCCTCTACTTTTGTATTGACTTTTATATGTGCTTTAAAAAATGTACCATTGGTATTGCTAGGATCAGAACTATGGCTTTGGAGTCATGTTCCAGTGATGAGTGAGCTTGATGGTGTGCGTGGGCAGGGCTATCCAGCTAGTTGCTAGATACATGCTTTCAATTGTGTGTGTATATATATATTTGTGTAGTTTGTATGGTTTTTCAGTTCAAAACTTGTTGGCACCAAGATAGAAGGCACTGGGCAAGGATATAGTAGTGGTGGTGGAAAAGTGAGTTTGTGCTTCATAGCCTATATTATAATTATGAAACTGTATCTCCTTATAATGCTGGCACTGGGGAGAAGGGCCACATTCATGTTGGAGGCCTTGCCTGTGGGCAGGGGTAGGAGGATAATGAGTAGCTTTAATGAACATCACTCATTTGATTTAACCATCAAGACTACCCAAAATTCTGTGGCATTGGGTATATCAGAGCAGCATTTTTTCCTAAACATCCAGGTGTAAATATTTCCTCCAACTTTCCTTATTTTTGTGTGCTACATTTGTGTGTGCATATGTGTATGTATTTATGTATGAATATGTGGTATATATAGGGATAGGTTAGAGAAAGAAAGCAGTTCTTTTAGTCATCTGTGTTAAAAATAGCAGATGGTAAGGAAGCTTTAACTTAAAACTGGAGGCCTTTAATTTTACCTTTTTTATTACACAGGTTGAGCAAAAGTAGATTTACAGTTCATATGAAAAATAACACAAAAATTAATAAATAATACAAGAATTGTGATCTATTTTGTGAACTCACAAATGTAAACCTACTTTTGCCCCACTCTGCATATATGTATTATTAGCATTTTAATTATTAAAGCCCAAATAGAATAACCTAAAGGCATATGTTTAAAGATTTCAGAATTCCTAACCCAAATAAATTTAGTCTGTTTACAGTAATGTTGAGAGACCTGTAAGATATTTAATAGCTGTCAAAAACCAAAAGAACAGCCTGATTTCTTCTTTGAATGTTTAGATAGCAGAGAGAACCCATAGTAGCCATGGACAAATCCCATCTCCCTCTTCTAAATTTTGCTTTTTTGCCCAATGACTCCCTGAGCAGCCATTTTTTGAACTCTTCCAGACTTGAGACCATTGACTATTCTACTTTTTCTCAACCCATCTTTCTTTTGCTTTGCCCATTTTTGCTCTATAGACAGCTTAGTTTACAATCTTTATGAGCTTTCTTATTCTGGGAGTTTTTGTAGATTTCTTAAGATTTTCTGCATAGACAGTTGTATCATTGGTAAAAAGGACCAGTTTATGTCCTCTAGATCTGTGTACTTTTTATTTCTTTTTCTTGCCTTATTGTACTGGCTAAACTTCTACTACAGTGTAAAATAGGAGTGGTGAAAGTGGATATTCTTGCTGAGTTCCCAGTTGTAGGTCTTTCACAATTAAGCCTAATGCTAACTGTAGGCTTTTTTGTAGATGCTCTTCAGCAAGATGAGGCAGTTCTCATCTGTTCCTGTTTATGTGAGTTTTTAATCACAAGTGGGATTTGGGATTTTTAAAAATCATTATCAGATTATAAACGGATAGAATTCATACTCAACATTTATTTTTATATAGTAGAAAACCCAGTGGCTTTTTGTATTCAGAATTGCACAATTCTCAGAATTGTGCGATTATCACCACTCACTAATTCCAGAATAGTGTCATCACCCCCGGGATAGCCTATGCTTACTAGCACTCCCTATTTCCTCTTTTTCCCAGTCCCTGAGAGCCTACATTCTGCCTCTAATGGATTTGCCTATTTTGGATATTTTCTATAAGTGGAATTATACAATATATGGTTTTTTGTGTACCGTCTCTTTTACTTAACATAATGCTTTCAAGGTTCATTCATGTAGTAGTATGTATCAGTATTTCTTTCCTTTTTATGGTATTTTATTGTATGGATATATATCACATTTTGTTAATCCACTTGTCCATTGATAAACATTTGGATTGTTTCTACCCTTTGGGTATTGTGGATAGCGCTGCTTTGAACACTTATTTACAAGTTTTGTTTGAACACCTGTTCTCATTTCTTTTGAGTATATATACCTGAAAGTAGAATTGCTGAATCATAGGGTCATTCTGTATTTGACTTACTGAGAAACTGTCATCCACAGTGGCTCCCCCATTTTATATTCCCATCAGCAATATGTGAGCTTTCTAAATTCTACATATCCTCTTCAACAAAAAACAAGAGAAAATCAGAAACATTTTTCCTTTAAAAAAATATAGTCATCTTAGTATGAAATGGCATCTCATTTTGGCTTTGCATTTCCCTAGTGGCTAATGGTGTTGAACATACTTCATGTGCTTGTTGGCCGTGTGTAGATCTTTCTTTTGGGAAATATTTTTGAGTTTTTTGCCCATTTTTAAATGTTTGTCTTTTTGTTGGTTAGCTCTAAGAGTTTTTTTCATATTCTGGGTACATGACTCTTTAGCAGGTATATGATTTGCAAATGTATTTTCTCATTTTGTGGGTTGTCTTTTTGCTTTCCTGGTGTTTAATGTTTTTAATTTTGATGAAGTCTAATTGTCTTTTCTTTTGTTACTTGTGAACAATAATGGTCTTGAGTACGAAATAAAAGTGCTGGATTAACTTGAAAGAAGCTATTAATGTAATAGCAATACTCTTAGGAAAGAAATAGGTTTCATCCTAGGTTGTATTTTTTGACATTAAAAATTACTTTCTAAGATGTGTAATTGATTATATTTACATAAAACCTAGGGCCTTAATTTTTTTTAAGTATAAGAATTGTGACTAAGTCGTCAATTAAAGAACAGCTGAATAGCAATTAGTCCTGTCTGTAATAGGATATTACATATTTGTATAATTCTTTTATGTTGCTAGATCACCCAAAGGCCTTTTGGCTTTTAGTGGCAAGAATATGGGAGTTAACCCTGGCTGGTGTGGCTCAGTGGATTGAGTGCCTGCCTGTGAACCAAAAGGTCGCTGGTTCGATTCCCCGTCAGGGTTCATGGCTGGGTTGACTGTCAGGTCTCCAGTGCGAGCATGGAAGAGGCAACTGATTGATGTTTCTCTCCCCCTCTTTCTCCCTCCCTTTCGCCCTCTCTAAAAATAAATAAATAAAATATTTTTTAAAAAAGAATGTGGAAGTTAAAAATATGTTGTTTTAGAGATGTTTCTTTTTCTTTTTTCCATCTTCATATAATTAGAAAACTCCATGGTACAAAAATTATTTTTTTTCTTCATGATTCTCAAAAGCAAATTATTTTCTATGTAAGCTTTTTTTAAAGGAAAAAATCATACAGATATGCTTATGTTCATGGGAGAATTGGATTTTTGCATGAAAGAGCCAGTAGTTACAGACTAAGTGTCCTTCATCTGCAGTCACTTAAGGATCTTTAATTGGATTTGATTGAAATGAGGCCCACGT